TTACGATGTTCCATAGGTTTTTACTAATTGAAGTGAGAGCCGCGCCAGAGTCTACTAAAAAGGTGAGCTTATGTTTTCCTACTTGACCTTCGATGGTCAATGTTTTCAAATCTACGTCTGTCTCGATATGAGTTTTGGTCTCATTTATGACGTTTAATTTTGGTAGGCCATTTTTGTTTACTTTTGTTTCATCGTTTACTGCCATTTCTTTGTTTAATTCTATACTATCGCGCGTTTGTACTTGAGGTTTCGTTTCCTCTTGTTTCATAGTACTGTCCTTATGTGTTYCTGTGGCATCAGGTTGATTAGTGCGCGTTTCAACCTGCTCCGTAGAAAGTGGAGTACTTTGGTACTTTATTTGGCTTTGTACTAGCCTTTGTACTTTATTATTTGCATTTATTGGATCCATATGCTTTGTTTTCTCTAACATTTTAGTGTCTTGTATCGACTTATCGCCCTTAGTTTCCGGACTAATTCGTGTGGCCTTACTTAAATTCTTTTGTTTTGACTGTGTCTTGCTCTTGCTCACCTACATTGGCAGTTTTAATTTCTTGCTCTCTGGCATATTGAAAGTTGTCCGCGCGTGTTTTACTAGTGTCTAATTTTGTCTGGCTTGAGCTCCTTACTAAAATTGTTTCGGCGAAATTTGGTTAAGTTGGACTTTAAAGACTTAGAATGTTTATGGGCCCCTACCACTGTTGGGCTAATTGATTTTACGATAGGGGCCCCAGTCAGTTTCCCTGACCGGGTTGACCCTGGTTTTTACGGCTAGAATTACGAGCATCGAATGTTTGTTTTTGATTTCTTGTGTCGCGTTGTCGACTTCTATTTTGGAATTGCCTACTCTCGTTTTGTTCTTGCAAAAATCGGCAGTTATACATTGAGTGGCCCTTTTKTCCACAGTAGTGGCATATAATAATACCAGTTTTTGTAYGTCCGCCCCTCCCAAAACTACCAGGATTGGAAAAACCACTACTTTCACCCCTTACTTGGTTTGGGTTCATTGAACCTCTTAATTCCCTTCGCAAWTCTTCGCGAATTATTTCTCTTATACTTTGAYTCTYCTCTTTTGGTTCATGCTTTGATTGATAAGGAGAACTGGAGGGGTAGTAATTGTATGGTTTCTCGTTAATTCCTGCGACTTGTGTGGCCTCTGGTTTACTTTCAGGTGTCAAGCTAAGCGATTTGAGTTGTTTGATTATTTCTTGTGAAATTTMTTTCGTATCTATGACACCGCTGGTGCTCGGGGACACGGACTCTTTTAATTTTGCAAAATTTTCTGCAGCTTCAATAGTTTCCGGCTGCTGAAGAACGACATAATCTTTTATATCCGGTCGTAAACCTTTTACAAAGTGGTGAACCCATTCTGTTCTAGGGAGATCGAGTCTCCTGCACTGTTGCCTAATGTCGCTTATGTAATCGTTAAGTCTCTCGTCAGCTTTTTGCTTTCTTTGTTCTAAGTTTTGTCTTATGCGCCACTTAGATGCCTCCGACGAAAAATGTGTTCTTAATTTTTGGCTTATTTCTTGCAACGTTATTATGTCTCTATCAGGCAATGAATTGAACCACATGCTAGCGGGTCCCTTTAAATAGAGTGGTAAGGCCTGTGCTTGTTTCCTAGCATCCCAMCCACAAAACTGAGCMGCTCTTCTAAAATTACATATGAATTCGTCAACGTCCTCCGTCTCGTCTCCCTTAAAGGTTGGGAATGAAAATGACCCTCGTATACTCAGTGCGTCATTACATGCCCTTTGTATTCTCGCTTCATGTTCGCTCTGCTCTCTTCTCATTTCCTGCAATTGT